AGCAAGTCCAATGTCTTGTGTACCCCAAAGTGGCCTGCTAACGGGTGGTCATGGCAATAGCCTAAGACCAGAGCTCGTGTCTCGTCGGGTACCATGATCTGCTCCCCCCTCCACAAGAGACCTTCCTTGTTCTGCAATGAGACTCCAGGTGGCCTAGGAGTCCCCGTGGAAGCAGCTTGAAGTCTGGTTAGGAGTTCGGACTGAAGTAGCAAAAAGCTACTCGCCGGCAGAATAGTATCAGGTTTGGTTGTCTCCCCGGGGTCCTCAAACATCCGGGAGAGAGCATCCGGTTTAGTATTCTTAGATCCGGGCCAATACGTGATGTGCAGAGTAAGCCTTGAGAAGAACAATGCCCATCTGGCCTGACGCGGCCTGAGGCGTTTTGCTGTCCTCAGATATTCTAGATTTTTATGGTCAGTATAGACCAGGATGGGATGCAATGCCCCTTCCAATAGATAACTCCATTCCTCCAGTGCTGTCCTAATCGCTAACAACTCCTGATCCCCGATATCGTAATTATTTTCTGATGGGGAGAGTTTTCTGGAAAAGAAAGCCACTGGGTGAATCAGCTCCTTCACTCCTATTCTTTGCGACAGAATAGCTCCTACCGCATTTTCCGAAGCATCTACCTCCAGAATGTAAGGTAATGAAGCGTCGGGATGACTCAAAATAAGGGCTTTCGTGAATAGTTTTTTCAAGGCTTCAAAGGTGGTCTGTGCCTCAGATGTCCATCGGAAATGCACCCCCACCTTATTGAGCTGAGTGATGGGAGTTACCAGGCCTGAGAAATTTTTAATAAATTTCCTGTAAAAATTGGCGAAGCCAATAAATCGCTGGACCCCCTTTTTATCCGTGGGGACTGGCCATTCTAAAACTGCAGATATTTTTTGGGGATCCATCGCAACTCCATCGGTTGAAATGATCAACCCCAAAAAGGGAATGCTGCTCTGTTCAAAGCTGCATTTTTCAGCTTTAGCATATAGCCCATGCTTGCGCAGCCGCTCCAGTACACTCCTGACGTGATCTCTATGTGTCTCCAGGGATGAGGAAAAAATCAGGATGTCATCCAGATACACAATCACATAGATGTCCAGGATGTCCCTAAAAATTTCATTCACAAAGTGTTGGAATGTAGCCGGTGCATTACAGAGACCGAATGGCATAAGAGGTACTCAAAGTGCCCAAAGCGAGTGCGGAAAGCGGTCTTCCACTCATCCCCCCCTCCCGAATGCGCACCGGATTATAGGCTCCCCTGAGGTATAGTTTGGTAAAGATGGAGGCCATCTTTAGCCTCTGAAATAATTCAGGGACTAAGGGAAGGGGGTACCGGTTCTTCACGGTGATCTTATTCAGGTCCCTATAGTCTACGCAGGGCCTCAGGGACTGGTCCTTCGCTACGAAAAAGATTCCCGCCCCGGCTGGTGAAGTGGAGGGGCGAATAAATCCCTTCCGCAGACTGTCATCAATGTATTCTTTTAGGGCACCCAACTCTCGTTCAGACAGCGGGAAGATTCGGCCGAAAGGGAATTTCGGATCCTGGGAACAGGTCAATAGGGTAGTCATAGGCACGGTGCGGAGGGAGAATCTCTGTACCTCGTGGGCTGAACACGTCAAGGAAATGAAGGTATGCGGAGGGCACAGTCTGTGCTAGATCCGTATCTGTATTCACACATAACAAGTTTGGGGGCCCTGGTGATGACTTTAGGAGACAGTGCTCCTGGCAGTATAGTGAGTGAAAATGAACAGATCCAGTCTTCCAGTTAATTTGGGGATCATGAGCCTGTAACCACGGGAGCCCCAAAATCACTGGAAATAGAGGGGATGCAATAGCGTCCAAGCGGAGGAGTTCCTGGTGGTGGGCCTGCTACTGTGGTGCACAAAGGAGGGCTCTCTCGATCTACCAACCCTGATTTAATTTGTGAACCATCAGCCAGAAAAATATTCAACCCTCGTTCTTTGGACAATAACGGAATTCGTTGCTGAGCTGCAAAGTTAAGGTCCACAAAGCAACTGAAGGCCCCAGAATCAATAATAGCCATTACCTGCACAGTTCTTCCTGGGAGCTGGAACGAGATGGGCACGACTACATGAGTAGGGTCATCTACACAGGTTGGAGACATAGAAAAAATGGTAGAGTACTTACAGAGCTTCTCAGGACAGGAACGCACCATGTGACCCGCTGCTCCGCAGTATAGGCATAGATTATTCACTCTGCATCTGTGGCATTCCTCAGCCATGAGAGATGGCCGCATTATCCCAAGTTGCATAGGCTCTGTTCCATCCGTAGGTTCAGGACTCCGATTGCTGACTGCAGGATGTGATGGGATTGGGACCCGTGGTAACATCCATGTAGGCCTTGACCCTTGACCAGACCTTTCCTGCCTTCGTTCCCGTAACCTACGGTCAATCTGAATTGCCAGGGTGATTCATTTCTCCAAAGAATCAGGCACACCTACCCTGGCCAATTCATCCTTTAGGGGCTCGGATAATCCTAGGCGGAACTGATGGTGCAGTGCTGCATCATTCCATTGCGTATATCCAGACCAATGCCTGAATTCCGAGGCATAATCCTCTGCTGCCCGGCGTCCCTGCTGCAGAGAATGTAGGGCTGCTTCAGCCGAAGCAGCTCGCTGAGGATCGTCATATAATTGTGACATCGCCTTGAAGAATTCTGCCACAGAGTTCACATGTGGATGGCGCGCCTCCAATAGATGATGTGCCCAGGCCTGGGGTTCACCCTGCAGCAAGGATATCACGAATTCCACCTTCACAGATTCGGATGCAAATGTTCAAGGTTGGAGGTCAAAGTAGAGCTGGCAGGAATTCAGGAAGGCCCTCGATCTCCATGGAACTGCTCAGGCATTGGGACTCGAGGCTCCGGCGGGGGAATGGAGAACACTGCTCCAGCGGAGGGTCCTGTGGGGCTACTGGTAGGAGATGAACCGAGCGGGTCTGATGCTGTAACAGTAGGAGTGGCTAGGGCCTGGACGCGTCCCTCCAAGTGTTTATAACCCTCTTCCAGTGTCTTGACAGCTTGGGTAAGCATGGACAGATGGTGGCACATCTCTTCCAAGGGAGAGGGTCCTCCTCCAGACTCCGTCATGGCCGTATGGTTCTGTTAGGGACCAGCCGGTGGTAGCCTCTAGTGTTCCACAGACCAGAATTCCCCAGGGCGCGGAATCTAAGTTCCGACCTGCTTGTTCACCAGAGCCCCTGATGGTGGGGATGGACTTGGAGCAAGCCGAGACCAGGTCGCGGCCCCTGGGTGCAACCAGCTGTGGTAGAGGCACCTGTCAGTGGTACGCAGCAGGTGAGAGTCTGATGTAAAAAGGTAGAGTAAGCGAGGTCAGACAGGCCAGGTCGGTAACAGCGGAGCAGGTCGGTACAAAACGGCAGGCAAAAATGTAGGAGCAGGCAGAAGAATGGTCAGGCAAGCCAGGGGTCAGAGCAGGAGAAGTCAGCAGATCAGGATCAGGCAGGGTCAGCAACAAAGTAAACTCACAGGAAAGACCATACGGCACTTGAGCATTGCAAGAGCTGGGTTTAAATAGCCCGCCCGACTCCTGACAGGTGCTCCTGGGTCCTATGCTTGCCCAGAGCCATCATTGGTGACAGGCGCGCCTGGGTCCTAGTGCCCGCCTGCCTGTACGTTTTGTCAGGATTCTACGCATGTGCGGATTCGATTGCCGCAGCAATCTTCCCGTTCCCTGACAGTTGGCCTGCATAAAAAATGATAACTCTGTCTTTCCCAAGGAAAGCGGAGGAGGGGAGGTGTTTGATCACGTTATCAGTGACCTGCAACCTCATCATAGCCGTCCAGCCACCCGTCCAAATTCCCCTGTCATCTAGTATCTTCCTTAATGGGCCCAACACATCCCCATAGCAGCCTAGCCAAACCATAATGTCCGCTGCTGGGATAGACTCATTCCTCACCAGAACGGTCACATTTTTTACCAAAGGCTGACGAGAGATGACCCTCGGGGTTAAACCCGCCCACCTGGGAGACCCCTTCCACCTATCATCATACCTTTGCCAGAATAAATCCAGACCATCAGCCCTCACAAAAGATACATCATATTCACCTGCACCCCCAGGAGCAATAAAGGCAAAAATCTCACTAGCCCTGAAGCCCATTTCTATAATTCTGTCTATCACCTCCTCCTATTTGGGGGGGCGCCCTCACCCGTCCACCGTAACTGGACCACATTACACCGTGCCACCGAAGAAGGGGAACCCCCAACCCGGGACTCTAACACCCCCCTCACCCCCTGGCCTCCCCTGACCGCTGCAGAATAACTGATAGAGTCCGCAGCCGGGATGAATCCAGGGGGAGCAGAGGGAGCAGGGATGGACCCTTGAACAGCAGGGATGGGAGAGCAGAGGGAGCAGGGATGGACCCCTGGACAGCAGGGATGGGATGAGCAGATGGGGGAGCGGGGATGGACCCCTGGACAGCAGGGATGGGATGACCAGAGGGAGCGGGGATGGACCCCTGGACAGCAGGGATGGGATGAGCAGAGGGAGCGGGGATGGACCCCTGGACAGCAGGGATGGGATGAGCAGAGGGAGCGGGGATGGACCCCTGGACAGCAGGGATGGGATGAGCAGAGGGAGCAGGGACTGGCCCAGAGCCAGCATGGATGACAGGAGCAGGGACTGCCTTACGGGCAGCAGGGATGGGAGGAGCACAGAAAACAAGGACAGACCCAGGAACTGTAAGAGCAGAACTAGAGATCACAGACTTTACACTCTCCCCACCTGGTGCATCACATATCATCTCTCCCCCCCCCCCCACCAAACTCTTACCCTCCTGCAGACTCATGGCTGTAGCCAGTCCTCCAGCGTCACAGACATGCTGGTATCTGTGCACAGATTCAGTTCCACCTCTGGGCGGGGACACTCCACTCTTCATCCCATCACAAAGACCAGGACATGACTCACCACTGGGCAGGGACAGTCCTCCCCCTGCTGCATCACAGAGACCCAGAGCCAGCATTGTACTCCCAGTGGGCGGGGACACTCCATGATCTTCTAAGCCACAGGGAATCTGAGCTGCAGACACACCCCCGCCTCTGGGTGGCAACACCTTGTCTTCCTCCATGCCCTGAGGACCCTGACTTGCAGGCACACCCTTGCTGCTTGGCTGGGACACCCTGCTCTCCTTCACACCTCCAGACTGCATGCTGACATCCCTGGGCAGGGAAACCCAGCTCTCCTTAGCATCTCCAACACTTAGATCACTGGATTCAGCCACCACTTCACTGCTGGATGGGTTCACTCCCAACACCTCTGACACTCTCACTCCTGCTGCTGCAGACTTCACCAATTTGCTGGGAATCCTTTCCAAGCTGACAAACACCGCTCTTTCTTTCTCTCTGGGCTTAGCTGGCTTCTTACACCTGTCATCCTCATCCTCCAATTCCTCGGCTGTAAAAGAAAAACTGCTTTACATATAAAGGGGACTCCATTTCTTTAATAAAATGCATAGTTCCAGCTCTCTCAGCTGCCTCCACTTAAGACCCCCAGTCCAGGGGCTGCTGCTGGGGGGGAATAGAGCCGAACCCCACAACCTTTACGGCAGGTGATACTTCCGCAGCATGCATGGGGGGGCTGGCTGGATCAGCCTCTACCCAGCAGGCTCCCTCACCTGCTGGTGCATCAGAAAACTCCTCCAGAGATGACTCCTCCTCAGCATGACCATGGGCCTCTGCCACAAGCTTGCTCCTTGCAGATCTAAACCTGTCTCCATTAATATATCTTTCCCGCAGGATTCCACTGGCCGCTTTCAGTGCAGCAACCATCTTGACCTGCTTGCTGACACGCTGTTCCAAGATCTTCAACTGAGGCTTCATGGTTTGGCGCTTGGAGGACCAGACCCGGTCATACGAAGCCCTGAATTTCTTCAACTCCAGTCTCAGCCCACTTAGCTTTTCCTCCTCCTTGTTCAAGCAGTTGATATGGCCCACACTGTGCTCTCTGTATGCACTGTATTTCTCCCCTGGCCTAGGGCCCATTCCCAGGTCCTCCACTGGTGTTTTTGTGGGGCTGGTACTAGGGCCAGGATCCTGCCCACGAACACATCCTTCCTGGGCAGGGAGAGGAATCCAGTCCCTGGTTCCAACAAAGGCCTCCGGAAGCTCAGAGTACAGCTTGCACACCACCTTCCACGACAAGCTCAGGAATGGAGATTTTTTATTAAGTTGTTACTTGCAATCAGTAAACAAACTTATTTTATACAAAAATACAAAACTCACAATAAATAAACCAAATCAACTCAGATTATAAATGGGAAACTTCCCCAACAAAAACATTACGGTTTATGAACAAGAAAACCATTTCAGTCTTTATGGCTTGTTCTAATATAAAGTTCATAACCTGCAAGAAAAAATATGATAGCTTACCAGCCAAGAAAAAAACAGAGCATTAACACAGGAACAGGACTTGCATCAATGGCCTTTCTGGCCTATCATCATTATATAAAAGCAGAAAGAAAATCGGCCTTTATGGCCCAAACCATCATGGTTATAACATTTCAGTTTCAATGATTTTACATACAAACGACAATACTTACACGAGAGGGCCATTATGGCCCAACCTCTAATACATACCATTCTTAAACACAACCCTAAACTCCCTCAGCCCAGAGTCCTACTTACTCCAAACTCCTAAGCATAGCTTAGGGAAACCTTACATCCTACAAACCACCCAAGAAAAGGGTAAGAAACTTAGATCTTCAGTGAATGCAGCCTTTCGTAAAAAAGAACCATACTTACCAAAATCTAAGGGAGTGATATAAGAGAAACAGAGACAGGGACCACCACCCGAGATCAACAGACGGCAGCAACCGACCTAATGTTCCTCCACGCCTCCATCCAGGCCTTTTGCTGCCCCCTGTTTCTCTCAAGACCCCGAATCTTCCCAACCTCACCAAGAATGCCACACACCACCACCTGGACGGGGAGGACTTTCTGCCGGATTGAGACCTGACACCGTGCATTCCACGTGTAATAACGGACCACTAAGCTGACTAGGAAAAGGGTGTCCAAATCAAAACCCGGGCGACTTTCAAATGCTCCATACACCCACTCTGCATAAGACATGCAGCTCAGGAAAGGAACACCCAGAGTCCCACCCACCTCTTTATACACCTCTACATTGAAAGGACACCGAAGCAAGAAGTGGTCCATAGTCTCCACTTCCCCCTGACACTCCGACCTCGGACAACCACGGTCATCCGGAGGACGGTACTTCAGGTTACCTCTCATGTAGAGCCTGCCATGGAAAGCGAGCCAGGCCTGGTCCCTAAACTTCAAGGGAATCCGTTCCAAATTAATCAATCTTAAACCCTCCCTCATAATATGACCTGGGCAATCCTTCAAGGCAAGCGGATCATGAAAGGCAGTCGCCACAATCCTCTCATCCAGGAGTCTCCTAGGAAGGGACCTGACCTCCTCCGCCGTCACATGCCACTGCCTGAGTAACTACAGGCTCGGGGCCACATAAGCTGGGAGCTTACCATGCTTAACGCGCAGGCTTTTCACTAGCCCGCCACTCTCCCAACAGCTCAGAAAGGGTCTAAACCAGATCCGAAACAGTCCTACCCATGCAGGCGGGCCTCTCTCCCAACATGCTACCAAAGTTATGTTTTAATAAACATCAGAGAGAAAAAAACTATTGGGTTAACCATACCTAGGCCACCCTCCCGCCTGGATGAGTAAGTCACATCTCGCTTGACAAGGTTCAGCCTGTTCCCCCATAACATCTGGAAGAAGCAGCTGTAGACCCTCGTATAGAGTGACTCTGGTAAGAGGCAGACAAAGCTGACATACAAAAAGATGGGGATCAGGAAAGTCTTAATCAAGTCAACCCTTTCCCTTAAGGAGAGCCGCCACCCCTTCCAACATCTCACTTTGACCTTGGCATCGGCCAGCCTAGCCTCCCAATTTGATTTGCTGTAATCAGCAGGGCCAAAATTAATGCCTAAAACTTTTATTTTATGCTGAGGCACCGGGAAGGTGTCCGAAAGTGAAAAGCCCTCACCTTCCTTACCCATCCAGAAAACTTCACATTTGTCCTGGTTGACCTTGGAGCCTGACACCTCCGAATACTGATCCATCACTGAGACCACCTCCTGCGCCTCCTCAGTCCCAGAAATGAAGACAGAAACATCATCAGCGTAGGCAATGACCTTCAGGGGTGGATCCCCCTGCGACACCCACCAGCACCCCGCCCAGCACTCCACCATCCAACCTCCTAATAAAGGGGTCAATGGCGAATGCGTAGAGCAAGGGACTCAGCGGGCACCCCTGGCGCACACCGGAACCAACCCCAAAAGGCCGCCCAACCCATCCATTCACCAACATGAAGCTCTCAGCCTCCCTATACAACGTTTTTAAGCCAGCCAATAAACCTCCCCCTCTAGGCCGTACCGGTCCAGGAGATGCCAAAGGTACTTGTGATCAACTCGATCAAAGGCCTTTGCCTGATCCACAGCCAGCAGGAACTTTCCCCAGCCTTCAGCCTTACATCGCTCCAGAGCCTCCCGGAGAGCTAACACCACTGTAAAGGTACTTCTGCCCTGGACCGAGCAATGCTGCTGGCGAGAAAGTAAGCCGCCCGCCACTGACGACAAGCGCCAGAACAAGATCTTAGCCAGAATCTTTCTATCGACATTGAGAAGGCTAATGGGGTGCCAGTTCTCAATAGCCGAAGGATCTTTACCCTTTGACAAGAGAATTACAGCAGACTGCCTCATGGAAGGAGGGAGCGACCCCCTCATCCAGACATCAATTATGGACCTCCACAAGGTGGGGTGCCAAGCTGGACTTAAAAGCCTTAAAAAACTCAGCTGTCAAACTGTCTGGCCCAGAAGTCTTTCTAATGGCCAGACTATCAATGGCTTTGGACACCTCTTCTACTGTAATTTCCCCTGTCAAACTTGCAGACGAGACATTACCCTCCAAACCTGTGTGTAGAGTCCAAAAAGCTCAACATCCTTGTCCGGACAAGGTGCTTCTCACTCAGTAAATCCTCATAAAAGGACCTGGAGACCTCCAGAATCCCTGACCTGGATCTTGTCAGGGATCCCGTACTATCCCTCAAGCCAGTGACCGTCTTAATCGCTGCGTTCTGCTTACAGTTCTGGAAAGGGTCAGGCTAGTGGTACTTCCCATAATCCCTCTCCAGAACCAAAGAGGCCCGCCGGTCATACTGGTACTCCCTGAAAAGAAGCTTAACCTCCGAGATCGCCCCAGAATCTCCACCGCTTGAAACAAGGCGGTCAAACTCCCTCCGCAACCGTTGGTAGGCGATATATTTATCAAGTTGTTTTCTTTTTCCTATGGCCCTGAAAAACCTGCTGATCCGCCCCTTGGTAAGCTCCCACCACTCCGACTTACTGTTGCAGAAATCCAGCACAGTCTCCTGAGCCTGAAAGAACTCCTCAAAGGATCGTCTCACTTCCTCGTCTTCCAGCAGAGCCAAATTCATTCTCCAGATGCCCTTCACTCTCAGTGGCGCATCTGAAACATTCAAAGTCACAGTAAGCAAAAGGTGGTCAGAAAACTCCACCGCCTGACACTCGGGTGCCGAGAAGGCAGAGTCCTCCTTCAAAAAAAACATGTCTATCCTACTCTGACTATTACCTCTCCTAAACATGAAACCAGTGCTGTCCGGGCTGCTCTTCATTAAGGCATCCACCAGACCTGCTTCCCTGACTATCGCATTTAAAAAAACGCTATCATATCCCAGCCTGTCATTGGAGCCTTTCTTGTCCTTGGGCCTAGTCACGGTGTTGAAATCACCTCCAAAGACAACTTGCCGGGACGTAAAAAGAAAAGGCTTGATCTTCGTGAAGAGATATTTCCTGTCCCACTTGGACTGTGGTCCATATATATTAACCAGGCGCAGTCCCTGCCCCCTCACAAGGACATCTAAGATCAGACATCTTCCAATCTCCACCTCAATGACCCGCCGGCACGTTACCATACCGGTAAAAAGCACCGCAACTCCGCTGTAAGGCTCAGCCGCAAGAGACCAAAAGGAGGGCCCACGCCTCCACTCCCTCTTAGCCAGATGTATATCGGCTAGACTACACAACCGGGTCTCTTGCAAAAATAAAACATCAGCATCAATACCACTGAGCAAAAATAAGGCTGTATCTCTAGCGCTTACAGATTTTATGCTGGCGACATTAATAGTCACCACCTTTAACGGAGCGGGAACTGCCATTTGAGCCATTAAGATTGGTGTTTCCTATCCTTCTCTTTTCCCCCCTCCCCTACAGCTGAAACCACACCCTCCCCCAGTGATTCCCTCCCATTCTCCTCCATCGGGGACAAGGAGCCCACCGACTCCCCCTCATCCTCAGATAGAGCCCCAAACCTATTAGAGATGGACAGCTCCCCTACATCTAGGGAAGACATGGATGAGACGGGGAAATAGAAACCTTATTTTTCTTCCACCACCTCTGTCTGGTTATGCAGAGCCTCCGAGCACTGCGAGTAAGAGTGGCCTAAACGCAGACACAAATTGCACCGAATCAGGTTGCAATCGCGTGCAACATGGCCCACCTCCTGACAAAGGGAACAACGCAAGACTGAACACGAGGAGGCAAAGTGGGATTTACTCTCACACCTATGGCACAGTCTAGGCTGCCCAGCATAAAAAATAACTAATCTATCACGACCTTGAAGGCCGAGGAGGGAAGATGCTTCACTACGTTATCCGACACCCCCAGCCTCATAGTGACCGACCACCCACCCGTCCAAATCCCCCTGTCATCATTTATTTTCCTAAGGGGCCCCAGGACCTCCTGCAGGAATTGACTCGTTCCTTACCAAGATGGTGATGTTCTTCACCAAAGGCTGCCTTGATACTACCCTGGGGACAAGCCCCGCCCACCTCTCTCTGATCCCTTCCATCTGTCATCATATTTCTGCCAGAAGACATCCAGCATGTCACTCCTAACAAAAGACACATCATATTCCACTGACCCTACAGGGGCAATTTATTTATTTATTTATTTATCGAGTTTATATAGCGCCAAAGGGTTTGCTCAGCGCTGTACAATAGAGGGGGGACAATACATGAAACAGAAC